GCGACGTGCGTGTGAATTTCGCGGCCCAGCAACTACAAGTATATATAGGTAATACATACGATGTATATATATATATATGTATATAGTGAGTCGGAAAGTTCAATTTATCCGCAAAAACGAGTAAGTACGTTTTGTAACTAAATATATATATTATATATACTGCAGTATATTTGCACTTATTTTAAGTGAATAACGTTTATCCAGACACATATGATTCCGTGATGCGTGCGCACATGTTTCGAGTTTCGACTGCACAACAGTATGTCTGCGTATACACATAGGTAGGTACATGATACATGATATGTTATATACCTGTACATATATAATATATATATATAGTGACACAGTGAGCACAAAGTATAACGTGTATGCTTTATATTGGTTAATTTTAATTGGTTCGTAAACGCGAGTGAATTGCAATAACATGATGTCATACTTTTAGGTGATATTATTGTTATTATTATTAGGTATAACTAAATAAATACTATATTACGGTCGAATCACGAGCCATTCGCGGTTGACGACGTTTCGACACAAATTTCCAGCGAGTTTCGATTTTTCACTAAACCTTGGCGCCGCGTGCTGCAGTTTACGCTGCCGACGATTGAATTCGATATTTTAATAATTATATTGTTTACCGATCGCTTTGATTTTATACTGCGAAAACATTTTCCAAAAACACAACTACACAAGTGAAATAAAAAATGTATTCGAAAACGAATCAATGTACAACGCCAATGCGTATTATTAACATAATATGTATATACAGAACACTATATAATATGTAGCAGTCTCGCGGCGAGGAGATTGTCTTCTTATTTGTTTGTTTTTTTTTCAATATACACACATATAATGTAAAAACTTTATTATATTATAATGCACGACATTCGGCGCAGAATGAAACGCAAATCTTGAATATCTTATCAACACGTCGCCCAATTATCCGCAAATGATTACGAGTCGATTCGATTTGCGCCTGCACGGTGCGGGAAGATCCAGTATTCGTTTTTTATTCAATTTTTTTAGAATCGCACTTGAACTCTTACCGATTTTTATATATTATGTATGGATTCGAACGTAAGATAAGCCGGCTTAAGTTATACTATTTCCAATTTGCTATTGGTATCACACGATAATAAAATACTAAACCACTAAACGAATGTAGGTATATATTATATAATGATATAATAATAAGCTCACCTTTGACATTTTTTTTTTTTGCGAGTTTGCCAAACGCAATTTTATATTATACAAAATCATATTATGTGTAGTGGCAATAATATATTATCGGACCGCTGCATGCAGATCTACATAAAAATAATATTCTATTCACCTATATATATACCAATAAGCGGATTGAAGAAATAACATAACGTGCTTACGTATAATTTGTATAACTTGTAATCATAATAATCATAATAATATTATTATATTCTCACGCCGTGGGCATACAGAATAATATTACGAAGTGAATCCTGCAGCAGAGGCTGCACGCGGCAATCGGTTTGTCGGATTTGTGGTGAGTTGGCCGCCGATAAAATTGTTAGGGAAAAAGGCCGAAGAAAAAATTGATCGGAAATCTTTGAACGAGAGAGTACTTATTATACCTAAAATATAATAATATGCGACCTTGTATATTATGTGCAACTGTCCTTATTATAGAAAGTAGAAGTGTGGCAATGATGGTTTTTGTCGGAGGACCTTTATACAATCTGAGGCATCTCGTAGCAGAGTTCCCTGCAGGCCGTGTTTAAAAATGTACTGATTTTTTAATTATTTACATGTAGGTTTACTTTTGTCGTACTCGTACACCTAACCTTCGAGTGGAACGAAAAAACATAATAATCCACAACTATTTGAATTACCTTTTATTGGTGAAAACAAACAAAAAAATATCAGATACAATCAAACATACGCGCCTCGCTGGAGAACCCGCACTGCCCTTCCACCGCGGTGCTTACGTTCAGCTTAGATATAATTGAAATATGTGCTGTCTCAGCTCATTTACTTCATTGGCCTATTATTATGAATACTATACTGTTTTTAATTTTTTGCTTAATATATAAATTTGTGTGTCCCAAACTGGTTAGCGCATAAAACACTTTCAAATTTATATTTTTTACTGAAATTGTATCATCCATGTAAATTAATATGTTCATATCGTCAAGACCTATAATATGTTTAAATCAATAATAATATAATATACTGTAATATAACACAAAATAGTTTATATTTTGTCCGTTCTACGGTTAAAACAACATAGTATTTAGTTGTGGCCGTCTTCGTTGGAAATCCAGAAAAACAGTAATAACAATATTTGAAGAAAATTTCTTAAAATTGAGTTACTTATCTCTTCGTCGAGAGATGTTGATTGGTCTGTGTCTTGTCTCAAGAACGAATAACGACGGCGCTGTTCAATTATAACACGTAACAACAAGTTCACTAATTACTTTAATTGTCTATTGGACGAATTTTCTGAATTTTTTTCAGCCAATCACATTCTGGCTTTTAATGGTCGGTGATGCTAGGAACTCCACCACTTGCCATACTTGAAACGAAGAGTGATACTATGATTTATGGCGCCCGCATGAAAACAACAAAATTAATAGTCAACACCAGAGCACCTGCAATACATATTATTATTATATTATATATATATTATATTCTTATAAAAAGCGGCGAAAACTAATTTAAAGAAAACAATGCTCGCTCGCGGTATGTTTGGTTTACCGTGGTATGTAGTAGATACGTCAGCGAGTAGTATATCCAATAATAATAAGGGTTACAAAAACGAGAACATATAATATATTATAATATAAGTTTTAATATTATTTTTAATCTACATATATTATAATGTATACATTATTATTATTATTATTATTACTATTATTGTGTTATTATAATATATTCTCATGGGTGTGACCTGCGCCGTGTGCGTTTGTACACAAGTCGGTGGCGCGAGTGTGTATATTCCAATCAGTCGCTCAGCATGCGGTTCGGACCGAGTCCCCGGTGTCGGTCCGACCTGGGAAGCTCTTAAGTGATTCAGCAGCAATCGTATAAACACTTACGGGCCGTAAGCACATACAGGTGCACGAGGACCCGATGATTTTTAATAGAAACTCGCGTGTGTTTATTTTTTACCGACACCCGCGCGCGGTACCCGCATACAACGAGAACAACGTTCATATACGTACATATAATAGGCGTATACATATGCATTCTTACACGGAATAACCGGCACACGCGTGTATGAAGTATAAAAAAAAATATTAAATTATTCTATAATAATAACACGGGCACGTCGATTTCCGGCGACAAATTCGAACCGATATGGGGTTATACGTACCGATAACGACAGCAGCTGCTGCAGCAACCTCGCCGGACGCGGAAATCATATAATAATATATCGAGTCGACTCGGCGTATAACACTATACGTAGTGTTTGAACAACTACGAATAATATTTAATGAAATATGATAAAACATTAAAAACATTAAAACGTTTAAATGAAAGATACGAAAAAAGGTCCCCCGGAGAATATTATTTTTTATTACGTGCCTGCCGCATAATGATCGACAGCGCCAGGTTTTGAGCCAAGTCCCTCTAGTTCACGTCGTGATGTCAAAAACACAAACATTTTATCTTAGACCATAATATTATGTTCTCGCGACATCCTCAAACCACTTTGACACTCAATTTTTGTACTTTTTTGTCTTGTCATTTAATGGAAAAAAATAATGATTATGATTATTTTGTTCCCACTGTTGTTGCCACTGTGCGGACGTACGCCACTTGTTGCATCTAATAGCTAACCTATATAGAGTGATTCCATCAAGCATGATGCCTTTTTACATCATTTGATAATGAAGGTACATTCAAATCGTGATTTTTGGAGTTTTCAGATATTCGAATAATTATTTTTGAAATATTTATCGGATATATTTTTTACGCAGTTCGTATTGCCGAAAAAATAGAATTAAAACCACCCACAATATTGTAATATAGATTACTATATATGTATATTTAAAGTCAAGGTTCGAGAACCAAACTGCTTTGGAGCCCGCTAGACAATTTTCTCCAGAAACTAAGGTATACTAGGGTATTGCTGTTCGCGTAAAAGTATATCAATACATATATTATAAAATATCAATCAAGCATAGCGCGTTTATGGTAATGTATGGTACAGCCGCGGTATCTGGTTTAATGCAATACAACCCCGGTCCCCGGAGTTACAGTACAGTGGTTTCCCGGAGTCGTCACCGTTGTGGCTGCAGGTCGGGAAAGTATCACGTCGGACGGCTTTTCTCGGATTCTTATTAATTTCCCGACCTACATCAACTGTCGCGAGGGCGTTTAGAGTATACCCGACCGGTGAAAACGTTTTAGATTTCTTATACGAACACGCGGATTCGAGATTTTCGTTGACGAATACCATGTATTACAATGCGTGCATAATATAATGTAATATAATATAATATAATATAATATAATATAATATAATATAATATAATATAATATAGTATCGATTATTCTTCGTTTCGCTTCTCCGGCGCCTCCGGTTGTCCGCTATAATAATATTAGGTACCCGAATACCAATTACCAGTTACCAATATATATAGAGTTGCCTCCGCCGTCCCGGAATTATTATTTTGTTTTCTTCGGGTACTATCTCCGTGTATCGCACGCACATACCAGCTATAGCACATCGCAATAATGTATTGTATATTATATGTTTATTATTATTATTTTATTAATATAATAGTGTGCAAAAAAACGGGTTTGCCGTCGCGAATCCCATAAAAAATACAATACGTTATGATATTCGTTAGGTTTCGTCCTCCGGAGATGTAACTACCGTATAAAATAACGTGTGTGTAATCCGCATATGTGTGTAGGTATATACCAAACAAGATAATATAATATAACATGTATATAGTTTGTACGTGTGTGTGTGTGTGTGTGTGTGTGTGTGTGTGTGTGTAGTATGCGAAAATAAA